GATATATAAATGCATAAACATTTGTTTTCAAAATAATGTCAAAATAAGCTTTTTCTAGGCATCCTAACAGATATGAAACAATAATAAACCTAATAAAATCCTACACAATATCTAGGTAGCAACGCTGAGGTATAACAAAAGTATACACAGCTTTATTTTCCATTTCTTTGATATCAAACTCATCCTACTTCCCTTTCATTTCCAAGGAGCTGCTGCGCACCCAACACAGTTATTTCATTCATCTTCAGATAAATCGGCATTGCCCTGCTCCGGCCCTGTGAAACCCCATTGCTGCCAGAGGGTTCGCAGCAGATCCGGCAAACAGGGCGCCAGCCTTCTCCCTCGGCCTCCCCGGACACACGGCAAAGGCAGGCCCCGCGCCTTCGCAGGGGAGGAGGCTCCGAGAGGAAGGTTCTGCCTGACTTCACCCTATTGCTGTTGGGAGCCAGGCGGCATTTCTCGAGCAGCCAGCCTGCAGCACCGCTGGAATCGCTCCCCGCCGCTCCCCTCGGGCAACGGCTCTGGGGGACAATTTGCAGCTCCTGCAGATGGCTGTGGAAGTTTATGGAACTGGCTGATTTTTGCTGATCAACTAAAAAAAATAATAATAAAAATAGGGTTTAGGGTCCAAGCACCTCCAGCTTGAAGTTCCCTTTCTTTCTGAGCGATGGTGACAGTCACGCAGCCGAGCAGCGCTGCTTTCCGTGCAATGCTCTCTACCCTCACATACAAGAGGTAGGAGAAGGCAAAAATAAAAGGAACACTGGATGGCGAACCTAATAAAAGATCTCTACTGACAGAGAGCCCTCGGTATGACAAAAGCACTTCAAATATGTTTTAGCCAGAAGTGTTGGAAAATCAGTCTTTTGCGAGCGTTTCTTCTAATTAGCTCTTTGCAATTCACGAGGCCTGGCGTTGAGCAGACAGCTCCCTTCCCCGGCGGAGCCCTGGCTGCTCCCGCAGCCCCACGCTCAATTTGCTCAGCTAAGGGGTGCTAATGCTTCAATATGCAGCAGGCATTTTTTTAAATGTTGAAAGACTTAAACAAATTATAACCATCCTATAATTTGGCAGGTTAGAAAAGAAGCTTTTAAAGAGCCTTGTTAAATGAATGACTTAAACCTTCACCCCAGGCTATTTTTAAAATTCATTTGTCTGCACTCCAGTGAGGAGGAAGGCACAAATATATGCATGATCCATGTCTAAAATCTTGATTGCTGAATTAGTTAGAAATAAGCTACAATCTTTGTGGCTATTAATAAATGATTTGGGGAGATGGTGTTGGAACATTGGTCACTGAAATAACCACAGCTGCATACCCTTCCTCCGCAGAGCAGGAATTGGAATGAGATTTATGGAGGAATTTGTGGCAAAGGAACGAAGCCGTAGCACACCACCTCCTTGCAGCAGAGTTTTAACGCCTAATTTACATGTTCCCTTCCACTGCAATGTGTGCACTTTTAATCACGCTAATTATAAAGTGCCCACTTGTCATGATGCTGCAAATCAAGATATGCCAAGAGAGCTACACAGGAGTTTGCGTAAAAAAAAAAGCGCTGCTCCATCTACCCCATCCCACAGAGGCACGAGGCACCTACCCTGTATGTCTCTGCCATCAGGAGCAGCGTCAGCCCATGGAGCACGGCAAGGACCTTGCCTCAGTCGAGATCTCTGCGGTAGAGAGAACGTTCACCCTGGCACCTCCAGATGCTCTGCAGGAGCGGAGGGCGCTGAGCCAGGGGTTGCTTCCACGCTGCCACTGCGTGCGCCACCGGGGCCGGGGAAGGGCAGAGGGTATCGGAGCAGATATCGAAGGGATGAACGCTTGCTAAAGGAAACGAGGGATAAACTACTGCTAGAGGAAGCAGAGGCCCTTCGCCTTCCCCAGGAAGCAAGGAAAATCCCTCACTAGATGTGAATGCATTTTGTGTGCTTCCTGGGAAACAAGTTTCCAGATAAATAATTGAAATGTGTTTAATATGGACGCCTGCAATTGCTTGCATAGACAGACCTCTGAGACCATTAATCCCCCGACCTCTCTTACCTCTATATTAAATCAGTATCATAACCTGGGATTTTTTTCTGTGTGAGGTTTTGAGCGCTAATGTCTTGTTCATGCAATTTGGGAAACAGGATAAGAAACAAGCAGTTACCCATTCACATTTTCATTCATAATGTATCTGCTTTTAACTGCCTTGCCTACAACCTTAAAGTAACATCTAATACGGAAAAAAAAAAAATACACCAAGTCTGAATCTACAGCATGTGGGTAGCAGTTACTAGTGGGAAGTAAGGCTTTCAGGTTTATATTGCTGGTGTAATCAAGGGCTTTATTGAATGAAAGCTGTAACTATTCAATATCTTTTTTAATTGGTCTTAGAGACCTCCATCTCATTCCTAACAAAACCAGAAGAATACGTCACATCACCTCTGTATTCATCCTGCGCCACCGGCACAGGTGGAAGCGACATCTCAGGGGAAAGAACTCTTGGACTACATCTGGACACAGCGCTGGAAACTCTCCTTGGTACAGATGGCAATCTGCTCCTCTGGGGACATGTGTCTGACTTGTCTCCTTTTTTAAAAGTGCACCCTTAAAGAAAGCTGGACAACCGGCACAGGTGGAAGCGACATCTCAGGGGAAAGAACTCTTGGACTACATCTGGACACAGCGCTGGAAACTCTCCTTGGTACAGATGGCAATCTGCTCCTCTGGGAAGCCCCAGACCAGATATTCCTGTTCCTCTTACCTTCCCAGAGCCCTCAAAGAGAACTTGTAGGAGGACTTAGGATGTCAGAAAGAATATGAAGCAGCCCTACAGCATCTCACTGTTAGCAGGCCCTAAGTCAGCTGTAGAAACTGTTATGAATTTGGTCTTCAGATGAAACAGAGCACCACACAAACAACCAAGCCAGGTTTCAGATTGTCAGGCAAAAGAGAGATAAAAAGACATTAAAATATTTGGAGGTTAAAACATCCTCACAAGCCCAAAGGCTCAATCACATGCTCTTGACTAGAGAATAAAATAGATTTAAACAGAACATATGAAATTAGCACTTGCTGCCACCAAGCGTAGATCAGCCACGATGTAAGGACATATGTTTCTACAGTTAACAAAAGCTTTGTAGATAGCATTGCATCACCTGTAAGCATCGCCCCAGAGCTGTGTCACCACCCCGTGAGACCCAACCCAGGCAAACCGAGGTTTAAGCTCTGCAGCGGTTCCTTGCAGCAGCCATGGCCCTGCTGAGCTGAGCCATCTGACGTGCACCAACGCTTACCCTTGGCTGTTCCCCTGTGCTGCCCAGCTCTCACACACCACACGGCTGCAGCCACATCGCTGTACTTTGCTCTGTAGTTCCAGTTTCTGGCTCATGGTGCTCCAGGACTGGTCCCCACTCCAGCCCCGAGGACCATCCTCCCCACTCATCCCACCCTGCACTCCAGACATTGCAGCACTGCGAGCACCCCCCAGATTACATGTTCCACTGAACCCCTGGGCCATGCTTCTGACCCAGCTTCCTAGCCCAGGACTGCTCTCCCCTGGTCCTGCACTTCAGCTTCATAAACTTTGGTATCTGGCTCGTATTTCATATTTACCCCTTCTCCTCTCCAAAAAAGTGATCTAGAATAAGACCCAAAGTGAGAACAGCTTCTGCAATTGCTGCATGCATCGTCCTTCCGAAGCGTCAAGTCTGACAGCAGATCAGATGGTAGTTCTGATGGAGCTGGTATTTCAGCAGAAGCAGACCAAGGGCTTAACTGAAGCAGTAAGGACTCACCCACCACAACAGCCTATGTGACTGCACAGCCTTCTGCTTAAAAAACCTGATTGCTGGTTAACAGCAGGTTAAAGGTCCAGAAAGCTGGACAACCCTAAGGGCAAAGGGAGATTAAACTTCTCTCTCAAAAAGCACTGCCAAGTCAAGATTGCTACCAAACATGTCTTAAAGCCTCCGCTTCCTAAATCCATGGCAATACAATTATTTAATTTTTAATCCTACGCACCAGGCTAAAACCGGTCAGGTGTCAGAATAACAACTGAAGAGAACAGCGAAGGGAACGTACCGAACTTTAAGCATTACGCTGGGTACACTCGATACAGAAAGAAGATCTGTAGGTAGTTTGGTATTCAGCTGACAAGAGGAAAGCATACGATTTGCTGCTTATTCATCACTAGCAAGCCTAGAGAAGACTATATTCTCCTTAGTTATCAGGAGAGAGCGCTACAGAACAGTAGTAAACCCAAGAGACCATCTCATCCCATTAGAACATAAATTGTGTTGTGATCCAAATACAGGAATTCTTGGCAGTTAAAACATTCAAATAAGTATTTTCACATTGTACACGTTGCAATTTGTCTACGCGCTTTCGATCTCACGGAGTTCATAAAGACATCTACACGTTCAAGGCTTCTGCTTAAAAAACCTGATTGCTGGTTAACAGCAGGTTATTTTATTGCATTACCCTGGTTGTCAATTTAATATTGATTTATGATAAAACGATCCATCGTTACAGAACTTACTCTACGTGGGCAAAGATGGTAGAGCAGAAAGCAAGAGAGTCATGAGCTTCTTACAGGGTAAAACCAAAAGCGTAATGAAACGGCAAATCGTTCGTCTGTATTTTGAAAGGAAACTATTCCATAGCTGTACGCGATGGTGGCAGTAATTTAAAGAGTAGGAAATAACAAAATAGTCAGACCCCTCTTCTTTAAGCATTAAAAAAGTAGAAGGAAATGGATTAGCTGCTTCCTTGCTGATACAGGCTGCTGGTCTAGTTCAGAGACAGTCGTAAATTTAACATCATAACCAGGGGCATAGCAAGGAGCAGCTTGGACCATAAAAAAGCTGTCTATATATGTACAAGTTATTCTCCAAAAAACCCAGTTTTATTTGGATGTGTGCACAACCTGCTGCTCTTTTAAGTCTTCAGAGCACTGAAAACATGACATTTTCCCCCAAAATCCAGTTGAGTCTGTCCTGAGAAATAGAAGTACTCATATATAAATGGGATGACATTGTCTGTGAGTGAGTTTCTTCCTGCAGGCTGGGCAAGACTTGGCATTCCTAAGGGAATCACGGAGGCACTGACTGCAGAAGACATGGCCGCATGTGGTTGACACAATCAGTCGTCCACTCTGCACAATCTGGAAGAAAAGAAACCGCAACAGGTATTGGAGTAAAGAATTCAACCTCGCTGGTCTACTGGCACCAGGCAAATAGGACTTGGGAGCAGCTGCAATCGGTACATCACTGCTACAGTAATAAGGAACCCAAAGATCTTTCAGTGCCGTCTTGGGAAGTGTTTCTCCCTCTACGTACACCACCACGAAATGACTCGGAGTTACAAGCTAGTTTCGCCTTCAGCCCGAGGTCTGTACTTCAAGCCCGCTGCCCGTGGCATCCCACACAGCCCAGCAGAGTTGCGCTGCCCACCCTCTGCCCCGTTCCCCCTCTGACCAAAAAGGAACGATGACAACATGTGGATCCTTACCTCCGAGTAGCCATCCATGCAAATCGGACAGCTAACAGTACCAGACGGCCTTGCGGTAGAGAGAACAAAACTGGAAGGAACATGCATCCATTAATTTCACCGTGCATTGAGGGTTACCGATACATAAAACATGGTTTAATCATCCGGCTGCGCAGATGAGGCAGGACGCGTTTCATCTGAAGATCCCTGCGTACCTTTAACTCTCTCAGTTTGTTGCACTTCCTAAGTAGTTTGGGCCTCCCTTACCAAAAGGAACCAGTGTCTTGGTTTTCGTTAGGGGGAAGATGCAGTTAGTCACCCTGCTCTGCTATTAGAAGTAACAGCAGTCTATAGCACTGTGCAGCATACGTATGGCAGTATTAATCTTCAACGGGTCCTAAATAAGAGGTTTGTAACACAGCCATCTAGCTGTCCTTTCTAGTAATGAAAGAGGATGTCAGAAATAAAAACATCCTCTATTTTAATTCAGCGACATCTCAGCCCAGTAACATATTCACACCAAGAACTCCTGCCTTATAAAATGCGTGAGGATATGAAGCATATTTTCAGACTCTTCGGCTGTATCTTTTATGTATTGCAAGCATTTCAGCATTTCTCAATGCATATCATAAGGTACATTAGATAATGATTTCATGAACAACAGTTTCTGTTGGATTTTGAGGAGTTTTTTTGAATGAGTTCTCTTCTAGAAATGCAATTACATTTTAGGTCTGAAGTTCTCACACAGTAGTCAAAGAGAACCCAAAAGCGTGGAAGAAACCAGTTTCCACCATATATCAGAAATTAGAATTTAGGAAGACACTGTATCTGTTACATACGCATCATTATCTCTTGTTTCATCATCATCGCTAATCAGTACACAGATATCGGACGGTCGCTGGCCTCTTTGTCTGAGATTTCCCCTTTGCCGTTCATTCTCTGTAATATAATTTTGGTAAGTTAGAAATGTTAGAAAATATATAGCCCTGGAACTATCCTTGAAACACAAAATTATAAATAGTCTGTAACTTTCTTCTTTAGTTCCTTCACTGCAATACAGGCTAAAAAAAAGCCTTTCAACATTTTCTTATTGAAAGCAGGTATTCCAGTGCTAATTAAAATCATTGTCAACTTTGGGCTTACTCAACTGCTGCATTTGGAAAATAAGAAAACATAATTTGAGCAGCTTTCCTGTATTTCATGTAAGGTACACAAGACAAGACCTGACAGCCACTATCAAACACAGATTGGATCCATTCTCTGAGACGCTGCCCAGATACTTTAGCACTCTCCTTTGTCTTTTGGGAAATGCAGCTTCAATCCATGCTGCTCAAGTTCATCGGAAAAGAAACAAAACAAATGAGGGTTTAGGACAACTCCATTATCAATTGTAAAACGTCAACTCACCTTCGACAATCTTGCATCAATACATACGGGAAGGGAGAGAAAAGAAAACACCATTAGACTTTGGTGTGCACCCCCAGCATTACATACAAACACCAGATAAGCCGAGCAATCACAACAGAACAAGCTAAGAAAGGCAGGATGCCACTCTCTTATTTTGATTAAGAAGGTCCAAAGCAACAGTAAATCAGCCGCTGCTCTGAAAACAAGTGGTTGCTTCTGGTTCTGCTCCCGCTGCTGCAAAGGGACAGAAGTGGAGGCAGCTTCGGAACCATCTGAACACCCCCCTCCCTGCTGCTCGTTTCTGGTTCTGCACGGCAGCAGCGGCATCCCAAAACTGAGGTTATAAACTGCAGTGTGGACTGGATCGAGTACTATTCTAGCTTTGGAAATAGCAGGAAAAACAAAAAGTGGATTTTTATAAGACTTCTTGGAGTAATAAACGGAACTAGTTTGTACCCCGGTCAGCTACGGTTGCGCTTGGCATGTCTCTGACAGGAGAACCTTAGACCAACGTTGCAACTAAACACTTCATAGTTGTGAAGGAGAAGCCTTCAAAGTAAAGTACCCATGACCGGCAGATATTCTCCCCAAGTCCTGGAGCAAAAAGCTGTTCTAGGTTACCCTCTCACTATCTGCAAGTGCACCCCCAGAGCAGCTTCGGTGTTGACCTGTAACGCATGGCTTTCAG